TTCAACCAGGGCTAAGTTTCAGCCTGGCCCAAGGATAAAATCCTATTAAAACATAGCAAGTTATTACATGATTATTCAGCCACGCGTTTGAGCTGCCCAGGCTGAAATTTCAGCCCGGCAACATGTAATCACAAATAATTCCAGCCCAGGCTAAAAAAGCAACTGTTTAAATGGCTTTATTTTGAGTGTTTGATCCATCTTTAAATATACTATACATGTAACCACAATTTCACAAAAGTCAAATAGTCGACTAATCAGCATCTTAACGCTTCAAATAAGTGTAACAGGCTTATTCTCATAATAGATTATTATTCTCCTATTTCGCTACACTCTACTGTAAACCTCCAACTATAAGCCCTGAGCTTATATACTTTCATAAGCGATTTTTGATGGGCTTATACAAGGGGGGGGGGTCTAATATACGGGGATGCTTATACATGGACGATATTTTGTGTTAGTAATAAACAAGTCAGACATAAAACAAATCAGTCATAAACAAGAAATAAACATGTATTAAGCAGCGATTACTGGGCCCTGCTTATAATCGCTGTTTCCATAGCTTATTAGGCTACGTTATGCAATTTTTTTTTTATTTTTAGCACCATATTATAAGCCAATTTAAAATGTTTAAATTCAGTTAATGAGACAACATGTTGAAAGCAAGTGTTTTGCAAGCTTATCCTCATTGACAAATGCATGACAAAGGTGCAAGTCGACATTTCCGTGTATTGTTGGTGGGTCAAAGGTTATTTTCTTGAAGCAGCACTGTGTTCACGTGAATATTAATGAAAGAAACGCTTTTAGCCAATGTAAAGCTTTTACGTATCCCAACTAAAACCAACAGCCAATCACAAAGCAAGTAGGAGCATAAGTTATGCATCACGCGCAAATTTTTGGCATTATTTGCTCAAAGCTTTTGAAGGATTTACCTTCGAGCTCCTTGTTACAAAGTTTAAATCCCACCCACCCACCCCATCTTACTTGCACTTTGGTTACTGCATTTGCTTCCAACACCTTCTCTACATAGTAGTTGGTAAAAGGATCTCATTATAATTAGCATATTATAAGGAAACAATGACTTCCTGCTGTAAAACTTTCCAAAATGAAAAGCTTTCCAAAGTGAAAGACTATCAGAGGTGTAAAAGTGCCTATGGACACAAGTTTTACAATATGGTAAATAATAAAAATTGTTATGGTTCCTTTACTGGTAATAAATAAATAAACATTGGGTTACGGGGAAGAAGTATTCCAATATGTCAACTTCATTTCCCATAGACTCTAGTAACGTCACATATAAATATATATTTCAAATAATAGGGACTGTCTAAGCGGTTCTGTGGACCTTAGACAGGTTAGGAACTGCCCAAGCGGGCAGGTTAGGGACTGTCCAAGTGTGCTCTTGGTCAGATACGTCAGGGGGTCGCTACTCCTGACTAGCATTATCAGTTCAGTACAGTATTAGGTATGTGACGATGAGGAGGGATGTCGTTTGACATAAACACAGAGTACTTCCCCCCAAAACACCCCTTCTCCCACAAAACCAAAACGTGTGTTTTTTTATTGTGTTAATTATAGTTTATATTCAATGATTCAATCTTTGGATCATTAACAATATTATGAATTAATTAATTAGTATATTTACTGAGAAGAAGGTGCTTGCTAACTGCAATAACCAAGAGGCTAATCTAGTCAGTTAGCATATTTGTTTAAATTACAATTTTAGGTCAGTAAAAATCAATAAATTATAGAAACATGCAATACTAGTTTAATACATAGATGGAGATTTTTTTTTTAAATTTTAGATTAACAATGATAGAACAAGTTCAATCAGTGAAGTTGTGATATGATTTCAGTAGATTATTATTCAAATTGCTTTTAAACTTAAATTTTGAAAAACATTTTAGATCTTCATCAATTGAATTCCGCACATTAGTACCAACAAATTTAATATTAAAATTTCCATAATTAGTTCGAATTTTTGGTAGAGAATAAGATGATCCCGAAGCAAGTCTGGTGTTATAACTATGTTTATGACTTATTAGTACAAAATAATCATCAAATGCTTGAGGAAGATTGCCAGTGTGATAGTCATACATGAATAATGCGTTGTAATAAAAGATGAGGTCATGGAACATAAGGATTTTGAGTTGAATGAACAGAGGATTTGTATGTGCACGGTAGTCTGTGAATGTTATTATACGAATAATTTTCTTCTGTACAATAGCTAATGGGTTAATTGTAGTATGGTAAGTGTTTCCCCATGAAACCAAAGCGTATGTAAGAAACGGATATATTAAAGAATGATATAGATTAATGAGAATATCAATAGTGACAAAAGTCCGAATTTTAGAAATAGCTCCAATATTGCGTTTAAGCATTTTTGAAATTTCTAATACTCGGCCTTTCCAGTTTAGATTGCTATCAATTACAACACCCAAATATTTTATATTACTGTTTTGTTTAAGTAATTGACAATTTATGGATAAATGGACAGTCAGAGTGATCTTCTTTTGAGCAGGATGAAATATTACAAAGTTCGTCTTATCAATATTGAGAGACAATTTATTGACACAAACCATTGGCTAACAAATTTCAGCTATCTATTCTTTGAGTATTCAAGTATTGACAAGCTTTTGTTAGCATAGAATAGGCTTGAATCATCAGCAAAACGATGGAAGTCAAGAAGTTTTGAAAGTCATTAATATAAATTAGAAATAACAGTGGGCCGAGAACAGACCCCTGGGGTACCCCACGTGAGACAGGCAACAGTGATGATCTAATATTGCCTATCGTTACAAACTATTGTCTATTCTCTAAATAGGATTGAAACCATTTATTTGTCATGCCCATTATACCATATCTTTCAAGTTTTTGTAACAGGATACTGTGGTTCACCGTATAGAATGCTTTGGAGAGGTCATGAAATACTGCACATGAGTATTTGCCATCCTCAATCACTCTCTGTATCTTATCAACTATTGATAAAATTGCATGTAATGTACTGTGATTTGAACGGAAGCCAAACTGTTTGGTGTATAATATATTATATTTTCAATAAAATTTGTTTGGCGATTAAAAAGAATTTCTTCAAGAACCTGATTAAAAACAGATAACAGGGAAATAGGATGATAGATGTTGACAGTTATTTATCTGTGAGCATTTATTATGTACAGGAATGACACTGGCTAGCTTAAATTGATCAGGTACAATACCAGTTGAAAGTGAACAATTAAATATAGATTCCAAGGGCTTTGAAATAAGACTTTTTAGCACTTTAAGAATGTTTACTGGTATACTATATGGACCAGTAGATTTTGAGGAATTTAACTTGTTACTTACCTCCTCTATTTCACTGGAAGTAGTTGGACGTAGACAAATACTATTGACTTGATCAGGTGGCATAAAAGACATTGGACCCTTTCAGTACATGGGATGGCCTCAGATAACTTGCTCCCAATGTTGGAAAAAAAATCATTAAATCTGTCTGCAATTGATTTGGTATCTGTTATTTCAATATTATCAACAAGTAATTTTGAGGGGAGACACCTGTTTTTTGTTTTGAGGGTTATTATTTGTTTAATTCCCTTCAATATATTCTATATGTGTGATCTATTTATTGTGAAATATCTATTGTAATAATTAAGTTTGCTAATTCTTAGTAGATTGTTTATCTTATTTCTATATGATTTAAATTTATTGTAGTAATATAATGATCTTGTTTTAATATATCTTTTATAATAATTATTCTTCAATTTTATAGATTTCCTAATACCCTGAGATATCCATGGTTTATCAAAATGTTTTAGTTCTTTTCTGCTCAATTGTCTTAAAGGGATGTGTTTATCTACAATAGATGACAGTTTCGAATGAAACACATCAAACATAGTATTTAGGCTACATCGCCATCAGCAGATTTTTCCAGATTCCAGTTAGTTGACTGAATTTCGTCAAATAATAATGACTCATTATAGTTGCAATAGTCCCTGCGAGATAGTTTGAAATTTTTAGGTAATGCTGAGAAATTGTTGATAATGAGAAAGTTTGGGAGATGATCAGTTAAATCATAAATGATGTAATTGCCACTGATAGTGTGATAATTAACAGAGTTTAAGAAAATGTTGTCAGTTAAAGTAGATGAATGATCTGTTATTTGAGTTGGCCGCAATATCTGGGGGTGGAAAAAATAAGAGCCCATTGAATTTATGAAATCATCAGTGCCCCCGTGAGATTCATAATTTAGAAGGTTTAGGTTGAAATCACCCATTATTAAACAATATTTGTTTTCTTTACTTATGGTATCTAAGACTAGATTTAGAAACACCATAAATGCTTCAAGGTCATTATGAGGATGCCTATATATTACTCCACATGTAATATTGTGATGCAGATCGCTCTGCATCTCAATCCATAGTGATTCAAATTCAATTGATGAACATAACAGATCTGATCTTAATGAATAGCTTAAATGATTGTTGATATAGAAACCAGTGCCACCAGCATTTGGTAAGCTGGGTTGTGAAATAAAGGTATAGCCAGGCTAGTTATTATTACATATTTGTTCACTATCTATTTTAAATTTGGTTTCAGTAAGACCGTTAATAGAAAAAGAGTGTTCAAGTTCATCAAGCATGTGTACAACATTTTCATAGTTGGCTGCCAGGCTTCTAATATTACAATTTACAATGGAGAACAGATTAATGTTTGGTAGACACACAATTTAGAATTTGGTTGCTTTCTAAGAAATCCTGAGTAGTATAGGCCTAATATTTAAAATTTGTTTGAGAAGGAAGATTTATATCAGGATCAATACTAGATAAATTGTTACTATAATGTTCAGACCAGATGTAAAATCTGGCTGCAGCTGAGGTAAAGAGTTTATATCAAAAGACATTGGTATATAAGATGGATATTATACTTATCAGTCACGTTTCTATCTTCTTCTTCCTTCATCAACATAAGCCTGTGGAATATCATAAAAGTTTGTAATACTGATTGATGGACTAGTTTCGTCTTTGCGTAGAAAGGCCTAGAAAGATCTTACCATACGTGGTCCAAATGAATTTATAATTAAGCTGCTTCTTGGCCTCAAGACATTTGTTAAATAGCTTCTTATTCCATTGGGTTAGACTTTCTGCTACGTAGATCTTGCGTTCGGCAAATCGTAACATACCAATATCTCTTGTGGTTTTGTTGCGAAGATTTGTTTTTGCTTTGTTGAAACGATCTAGAATGTCACGTCGGACAAATTTCACAATAATGGCGGGGTCACGCTTGGTTGAATCCACATTTCTGTTGCCAGTAGCTAGGCGATGACTTATTGATATATCATTCTCTTCAACTCTCACACCAATTTGTTCACCAATTTTTAAGACAAATTCATCAGTACTTTCACCTGATTGGATTGGAATTCCACGGGTTTCCAGGCACTCTCTTCTTGAATACTGTTCAATATTGTTAATTTCTTGCTTCAGCTGATCGAGGTTGTTGCTCGAATCATGAAGTGATTCTCGAAGATATTTATTTTCCTCGACTAGTAATTTGTTGGTCTCTTCCATCTTTGCTACTTTCGAGAAAAGATCATCGTATTTATCACTCAAAAAGGTTAAGAACTGTTCTATAATATCGATTTTCACAATCTTGATGTTAACTTCATCAAGAGTTTTGACGATGGGATTAAGCTTTTTATCTAGAAGCTTTCCGATGAGTTGTGTAAGGTGTTCTTCGTTCATGTTATGTGGAACGGCTTAGACAAAGGTTATAGCAAATAAACGAAACTAATTTGTTAAAGTAGAGGTAAAATATTTCACATTAAACTTGAAATTTTCAGGTGCTCAAAAATCGCCATCTTGACACTTTCTCCATTAGAGTCGGAGATAAATAACAACCATTTTGAATACTGGTTTTCTAATTTTTTAGACTATACACAATGCATGTCTTGTGTACTTTAGTACTTGTCCCATTACCTATTTAAATTTACACCAAAAATTGTAACGAATGGGGGTGGGAGCCCAAAATGCCGAACATATTCAACGGCATACACATCTAAGTTGAATGCTTGTGCCGAACATACTCAACCGCATATATATAGCGAGCGCAACATGCATACTCGCCTTTGTCAATTTAAGAGTACTTTCTGTCATTAATTTTCGATTCATGGCCGTGAATTTCTTCTTTAATTATCTTTAATATTTAAACTTACCCAGCATGTTGCCATGTTTTGTCAGATATAAAAATACGAGGCGAAGCCGAGTATCTTTAGGTTTGATAAAACACAGCTGCTCAATCATGTTTTAAATTGCTTCAAAAATGAACGATCTACTAAGTTCATTGGCGAAGTTTTTTTGAAAAAATACATTGTGGAAATCGTGAAAATCAAGTTAAAGTTTATGTAAATCATGGGAAATCTCTATCACATATAAAAATACGACACGCTTATGATTTTTCTTTGTGTTTTCCTTAATATGAATTATTAGTATTAGTTTTTTGAATTATATTTTGTGATCTTGTGTTTAGTGCACGCGGGCTCGTATCTGTGCCGATTGATCTTTAACCGACACACCTGCATGTGCGATTAATGTTTAATCAGCACGATTTTTAACCAATCAGAATCGAATAAATTGACTAAAATGATATTAAATAAAGAAATTGGAATGTATAAAGCGAAGACCAATAAGAAGAGTCATACACAATTCCTACTTGGAAAGACTGTGGGGGCACAAAAAACTTTCATTAGAAACCCAAAAAAAACATCCATGTTTTGATCTTCTTTATCCTGAAAGATTAAAACAGATCTTATTCATATAATTTCTTGAGAATATTTTGACACTTGCCGAGAACACTCCACAACTTCAGACAGACTGAATGCCCTTCTAAGCTGAAGTATACTCTAGAACTAATGTCCTAAATTTTCCTGTTTTTACCGTGTTGTGATAATATGGAAGAACTTGCCTCTCGGGTATACTGAGTCAATAAATTAAAAATACATTTGAGACTCATTTACTGGCAAGGAATATGTATCTTAGATCAGTTTTCAAATTGTTAATATTTATGATTTCACTTGCTTTATTAACAAATAATGTAACAGCATGTATTAGTTGAATTCTTTTTTGTTTGAGGTTTTGTTCAGTATTATATTTATATGCCTTCATTTATTGATCACATTTTTGTGTTGTAAAGTGAAGTAAACGAATTACACAATCTGAACACACAAGGTGACAACATAGTATAAGATCACATCCATAGTTATATAGTTTCAATAAAGGTTTTTCACGGCGTAGTCACAGATGCACTAATTATTTTAGCCTGAGGCTTTTACTGTACTGTATTGTAAGTACGCCAGATTAGCGGTAGACTTAAAAGTCAACTTAATTATTTGAGCCTGAGGCTTTTACTGTAAGTATGCCAGATTAGCGGTGGGCTTAAAAGCAGGGGCGGATCCAGCTCCTGAGCTGACTGATGCATACATAAGAACTCGCATTTGTCGGGGGGTCCGGGGGTATCCTCCCCCGGGAAATTTTGAAATCTAGAACCTCGGAAATGCGATTTCCTGCGTTCTGAGCAAACTCTTTTGTTCCAATTCATACATCAGAGTCACAAAATTATTTGCTGCATTTTTGGAAAGCACGTAAAAAACTTGAACCTATATATATATCGCAAAAACAACATAATTTTTCCATATAAGAAAAAATATTTGCTTGTACAAGTGTAATAGCAGCAGCGGTACATAAATCTCTATTAAAAAATAGTCAGTACTTACTACTGTGCTTCTTGTAGCCTTAACTTTTCTATTGAAAAACATTTCGGCAAAAATCACGACAACGCAAATACACACATACGTGTAACAAAGGTGTATACAGTGTGATCCACTAGTTGCAATGTTGGACTCAAAAGACAGTGTTATTAGGTTTCTTAACCACCTTCCATGAGGCTTATTCATTTCCACTAATTTGCAATGTTCCATGAGTAAAATTTTTTAGCATTACAATGGTGCATAAAGGTATTTTGTGCTCTAGTTGGTAAACTTATTTATATACAATTCTGTCTTATGCTGCTAACCTTACTCTGTGTGGACAGTGTTGTTGGCATCAATATGTCAATTTTATTCACCCCTAGCAATAGATGCCTTTGATGTGAATTGCATATTTGCATGGTGACTAGCCCACACTCTAAATTACTGAGAATATTGCCCTGTCACCAGGAAACCAGTAAAACTAACACACAACAAGCACTGAGTTTTAATATTCTATAAGTATAACTATAGGTACACATGACCCCAAACTTTAAATCAATAGATATATATAGTGATACTGTGTGTAAATTGATTTAATGAACTATCTTAGTTGAAAATTGTTTGTCAAATGAACCTACCAAACTGTACAATGATAAACAATATATGATGACATAATTGAATCAACAGATGTCTTCTATCAGTCCCCTTTTGCCTGCCTTTCAACTAATATATTAATATAGTACTCTTTTAAGATGATGTCAATGTAGAAAGGCTGCTCAGTAGTATTGATCAATATTTTCCCTGTGTTACTATATAAATGCACATCTTCGTCAAATATATCCGTACACTTATCAATGGTAATCCTCAGAGAGCCATGCTGGCTATCCAAAACATAGTATTGGGAGAATTAAGCACTACAAATATATATAATTTAATTAATTAATTAAATCTATACCACTTTTGTGAGCAAATTTCATAATTATAACCTATATACACCAGTTACATGCAGTTATATACAGTATTTATAACGTTCATCATTTTATCATACTAAGATTAAAATTTGTCAACAGAATGACATATACAGCTTATATCAAATTATATTTGCACCGACAAAGCATATGTACCAAACTATGGTAGGCGAGCACGCCCAGGTAATGATCTTTGTTTGCAAAATATCCAGTGTA